AAGGCGAGGTGGCTGAGGAGGAGGAAGGTGAGTGGCAGGCTCAGGAGTGGCCCGAAGATTGGGCTGATACGCCTGAAGGAGGCGTGATGATGCCCTTGATCTGTTCTTTCCAGGAGACGGACTGGAGCTGGTGGTTGTTGGACAGTGGTGCAGCAGTGTCTGTTTTGTCCGAGAACTTCTGCCAGAACTACAAGTACAAGGGTGGAAAGACAGGTGTTGGCAGCGTGGAATACTTCGCCGCTAATGGTTCCCCAGTGCGGATGAGTCAGACGGCGGCAGTTACAGTTGCCTTCGAGGTCACCACAGGAGCCGGAGCAGCAAAGGTACAGAGTTTTCAACTTGAATGTTGCATTGGGAATGTCTCCCACAATATTATTTCGACAGGACAGCTTGTGAAGAAGGGCTGGACAGTGGTTCAGTCTCCCGATGAGATGTACCTCTACCATGCAGAGTCCCAGACCATGATCACAGAGGTGACTTTGTGGGGCGGATGCCCGTGGATGCGTTCGCGTCGTCCCACCGCCACCAAAGCGATCAAGGATCAGCCAGGCAAGACTATGCCTATGGATGTGGATGTAGGAGGAGCTCCTATGGACGTCTCAGGTCTGAAAGTGAGCGCTGTGAACTTGGATCAGTCTCAGGCGGAGCGCAGGAGACAGCATGTTCTCAAGGGACACTTCCCGTATGATCCTCATTGCCTTGAGTGTCAGCAGGGTCGTGGCGTCTCACGCGCCCCACGCAGGCCTATGCGCGAGAGAGTGCTCGAGATCCAGGTGGACTTCTTCTTCCTAGGTACCCACAAACTTGTTTTGTTCTGCCAAGTGATGACAGGCCTTCTTGGCGTCACTGCTGTGAGCGAGGACATTCGTGTGACCGGCAGCCACATCAGGCAGATCTTGACCGAGTTCTCCCTCGTTGGTGGTGAAGGACCGCCAATCGACTTCAGGACTGATGCAGCACCAGATGTGACAGCTTTGATCCAACGCAGTGGAATACCAAGAGAGTACACTGTCACTCGTGCTGGTCCCCAGAATCACGACTCAGTCGGCTCTGTTGAGCGCGGCGTGCGAGAAGTGAAGGAGGGAATTGCAACAATCCGATTGGAACTTGCAAAGGAGAACTGTGATCTGCAAGACAGCCTTGCAGGTTGGGAAGCATGTGCCAGGTATGTCGTCGCCATGCACAACCTCCACGGCAAGGTGGAGAACACAGGCAAGACTGGACGCGAGGTACTTCGTGACTCTGTTGAGGCAAGCCGCGTTTCAGCTATGTTCTGTAGCCACGTGCTGGCAGAAACTCCGGAGAGTGTACCAAGTGTGGGCCGCTTTGTGAGTGCAGGCTATCTTTACCCTGTCAGGAATTCTTTTTCTCATTTCGTTGTCGCTAAGATTGAAGATGATTTGAAATATTTCCAAGCGAAGAGTTTGAAATTTGTCTTTCCCATCACCTACCCCATGGATTTGGTAGGTCGTTTTCTCAGGAGGACCGGTTCTGAACCGCCTCCAGGCCCAATCGAAGACCAATCGCCAGTGGAGATCATCCCTGAGGACTTTGCAAAGTTGCCGGATAGTATTCCACCTCCACGTCATTGGTTGGACAAGTTTGGCAACACGGATGACTGCACTGCCTGCGCAACCCGCAAAGGCAAGCACTCTGTCAAGTGCTATGAGCGTTATCGCAACTGGTTGAGGCGAGGTGATGAGAAGAAGCAAGAAGACAAGAAACCTCCCGTTCCAGCACCAGTTGCAGATGAAGAAGTTCGTGACTTAGTTCCTCAGGAACCTCAAGAACCTCAGGAACTACCTCCAGTTAAGGCCAAGGACGTTGCTGTGATCCCAGGTTTGCCAAAGGGAATGGCTCCCACAAGGGGTTGTCCATCTTGTGACAGCGGCATGGTGGCACCTGGAATCCGCCACAGTGCAAAGTGCAAGAAGAGCCAGGCACAGTTCCTTGAAGCCAGTTCGATGCATGTTGAAAAGGCAACTTCGTACCGTGACCCTCCAAAGGCAGTCGAAGATGAACTGGCAAACTATGCGGCTGAGATGGACTATGCGCCCAGTGACCTTGAGAAGGATCACGACGTCCCCATGGATGAGCCTGAAGACATTGAGATGTCTGGCGACCTCCTTGAAGACTCCGAGATGGTGGACTCAATGTTGGAACTGGATGGGAGTTTCGTTTGCTCCATTCGTTTCGACTGGGACGGACCTGGTGAGTACCAGAGGGTGAACCTGTGCGGCACCCCAGTCCGAGTTTGGAAACCGTCAGGTGCTGTCTCCGACACCACTCTTGTGGAGTTGAGTCCTTCAGGTACCTTCCGAGCCATGGTCAAGGAGATCGAGGGACTCACAGGAGTTCGAGCAGGAAACGTCCTCACGCAGAAGGAAATGGAAAGGTTTTGTGCAGAATTCAGCACCCGGCCTATACCCTGTCGATGGGTAACGGGCGAAAAACCGGAGGCTGACGAGGGAGTGAGAGCCCGCATGGTTGTGAAAGATATAGCGCGTGGCGCTGCAACCGCCAGGGCCCAGGGCATTAGCAGCCCAACGCCCTCAGTGGAGTCACTGCGTGTGCTCCTAGGTATGGCTTGTGGAGCCTGGGGTTGTCCCCCGATGGGCTTGTTTGCCATCGACGTGAGTCAGGCATTCATGAACGCGCCATTGGAAAAGCACCATGTCGTCGTTCGGCTTCCCACTTCCGTTTCCAGGGACAATGACGCCAATGAACCAGTCTACCTTGAGGCCAAGAAAGGCTTGAATGGACTCAGAGTGGGTTCGCTCGCATGGGCATCCTTCTTTGCTCGCATCGTTCGCGAGGCAGGTCTTGAGTCCAGCGTCACTGAGCCTTGCCTCTATGCCGGTTCAGTTGGTGGAGCACCAGTTGTTCTGATCTGCTATGTTGATGACGTTCTCGTTGCTACTCCAAAGGAGGCATCCTACAAGATCGTGTTTGATCTGCTTGCGAAGCATGTGAAGATCCGAGAGACTGGAAGAATCCCACTCGCATCTGCGAAGAATGGCTCGCTGCGTTTTCTTGGCCGGACAATCTCAAGGAAGGCAGGTGACGCTGCTTTGTACTTGTCTGTTGACCCTGACTACATGGATGAGTGTTTCCGTGAGTTCGGAATCGAAAAGGGGAGCACCACGTTCCCTGACATCCGACCAGCCATCGAGGAGACGATTGAGCAGGAACCCATTAGTGCCGAGGCGCGTGCACGGTTCAGGAGAATCCTGGGTCGTCTGTCGTGGATGCGCCAAACCAGGTTGGATTTATTGGTCCTTGTCGGTTTGCTCTCCACGGGCCAGGCCTCTCCAAAGCCAGGCCATGAGAAGGCACTTCGAATGGTTCTCAGGTACTTGATCACCGACATGAAGGTTGGACAGCGCTTTCCAACCGAAGGTGAGCTTCCCGACTATGCAGAGACGCTGCTGGTCTATACTGATGCAGGCTTTGCTCCCATGCGGAGTACGAACCGCCGCAGCATCACAGGTGTGTGTCTTGTGTACCGTGGTGTGCTGTTGAAAGCGTTCAGCCGGCATCAGGGATCGGTGACCTTGAGTTCGTGCGAGGCAGAGCTTTCCGCAGGCCAGGAAGGCATCCAGGAAGGACTTGGTTTGTCCAGGACTGTCTTTCAGGTCCTCATGTGCAAGTCACCTCCCTTTGTTTGGCATGGCTCACAGATTCCCTGAGTGGGAAGATGATCCTCGAGGCTTCTGATTTGCAGCGCCGTTCGCGCCATGTGGAGATTCGGATTTGTTGGCTTCGCGAGCTCATGGCCAAAGGAATCCTCGAATGTGCGCATGTCCCCGGTACTGAGAACCCAGCGGATGCTTTGACAAAGTGTTTGGCGTTGGCAACCTTCCTGAAGCATCGCGTGCTGTTAGGTTTTGCGCCCTTGCGAGCCGCTGCGGTGCCTAGAGAATCCGACGGTGTGCAAGGGAGAGCGTTTTACACAAACGGCAGCGACGCTGCCGTTTTTCACGAACGTTGTCGTTTGTGTCGCATACACGACAATTGTCGTTTGCGTCGCATACATGGACATATTACCATGTCTGCGTGACCATGGTCATCTGCAGGACTGCAAGTGTGCATGGCGATGGTGATGGTTGCACTTGCATGTGCAGTAAAGGTATGACAGGACACATGCGCTGACAAAGAGCACACGCATGCTTTGCAATCACGCAGATAATCGCGCTAGCGCTATGCTCACCTCCGCCCCCACCATTTTTTTAAAAAATATATGTATGTATATATATATATGATATGAAAGTATGTACACATAGGTTTCCTCGACGTCGGGTGGTGTTCTGTTTTTTGGTCCCAGCTTCCACACGCACGCATGGACCACGCATGCTGGGTGATGGCGTGCTTTCTCGACGGTTTCCTTCAAAACCATGAAACGATTAAAACAGAAATCGCGAGAGACATGTTCCCACGCACAGCGCGAGAGAATCAGCCTTGATGTTCCCAAGGGTTTCCTTCATAGAAAACGAAAAAACCCAATAGCATTGAGACCACAGCTCTGGAACCCGCCGTCCGAATGTGGAACCCGCCGTGCGAAGTCCGCAAGAAAACCTACCAAAGGTTTTCGGGCGAAGGTACATGATGCACGGTACATGGAAAATGTAGGCCTTTAAGTAACACCATGGTCAACATGTTTCTTTGAACCCTTCATGAAACACCAGTGCTTTTGTAATAGCTGGTCATGAGTCATGACTATACCATACACGATCTTTGCCAAACACGTGGCATTGCAACTTGAGGACCTTTAGGGTACAACAATTTTTACGTTCACATCCTTTCTTGGCATCGGCTGGTCGACGCCATGACTATGTGGCAGTGGAGCAGCAGAGGCTTGTTTTTTCAGTCGAGCTGAGCTTCAAGTTGCCTGCTTTGGTGCAAGAACAAAGCCAAGCAAAGCCTGTAACGCTGAAAGACCCTCTGGGTCATTGTGCTACCATGAGTCTTTTGGCATATCGCTTTTATCTTTCCCAAAAAACTCTCCTCGTCGAAGGTGTGAAACGAGTTGAAGTTCATCCTTGAGGAAACTAAGCTATCTGCCATATGGCATATGTAGTGACTCTTTGGCCTCACCTTGAAGAGGTTGGTTTTCAGATCATGGTAGTGAAGCGAAAGCCAAGCGAAACATCGAATGTGCGTCCGCAAGGCATCGGAAGCTTCTTTTGCTTCGATCACATCCAGGATGAGGCCCGCGTGGTCGGAAATTTCGATGCACCTTTGAACACCCCAGCAACACGTAGCCAGAACTTGAAGTTGGACGTTGTCAGGGGCAACATCTGCAACCTACATGGGGGCCAAGATTAAACTTAAATCATTTGAATCCTTTTTTGGCGTGGGGTCGTAGATTCAACCACAACTAAACAGTCAGAAGTTTTGGGCCACCCATCTCACAGCCTGCCGTGTCTTCTGCGCAGCCCACCAAATTAGGCACTTGACATGAGATGCCTTGTATCGTGTACCGATTTCTGCATAGTCAGAACCGCCCATGTTGGCTTCGCTCAAAACCGGTTTCGGTGGGATATAGAACCTGGTTTGGTGTCCGATGGCTTGGAACCTCATGACCTATTGGAACCCAAAGGCTCAACGCAAAAAGCACTGGTGTGTTCTTTCTTTTAAATCTTTAGTCTATAAAGTTGCAAAATGCACACCACCCCATATGTATATATATAGATTCAAACCAAGGGAAAACACTCTTGGTAAAGGAACCCGTTCTGCTTGCATGTCGTGCGGATTTCCTCGTGAACTGCGCTGAGGATAACATCCAGCTCAGAAGATCCAACATGGTCATAGATGCCCTCCCTGATCAAAACTCGAATTGCACTAGCCACTAGGTCCCTCCCTGTGCCGAGGAAGACATTGTGGAGCAAGTCCCATGCAATGGTTTCCAAGCGAAATCCTGGAACGGCAGTCCACGGCGAGGGAACTAGCTCTAAGGCCATGTAAGCCTCGTGAGACAGACACGTCAGCGGCCAGGCTGCCCCCTGTCCGAAATTCCTGTAGTTCATTGGATCTTCGCAGTGCTTACCGCAAGAAGCGAGGCAACTATCGCAAAGCCTGTGGCATGTTGGACACATCAACCATCAACCACCCCTAAGTCACAGCTAAAAATATCAACCACAAGAACAAATAAACCTTGTTTGCCCTCGCATTTCAAACCTGGAGGTCTTTGGCAGGAATTCCTCATTGTAGAACCCTCGCGAAGGGGCAATGCCGCTGGAACAGCATTTCATGCTCCAACCGAACACCTCAGCGATGACCTTTTCCACCGCGCTGCGTACCTGACAGGCCCAGTGTGTTGCCACAAGTCTTTTGTTTTTATAAGGCTGCAGACTGGGAAACTCAAATCCAAAGGGGGAAAGCAGAAAGAAAGAACCCTGTATAGCCAGGCTACATTTGGAGCTTTCATGTGCCGTTCCAAGATAATCGCAAAGGGATACTTGTACATGAGAACATCTTTCACTTGTCCCTCAGAACCCCAAAAGCTCGAGAAACTCCACACGAAGCTCTCATCATCGCGTTTCATTTCAGCTCCGTCGCCATGCACACACAATGGGATAACTGTGGACATGTCCAGCTGGCGGTCATCAAAGATTGGATGCAAGCGCCACGCATCCACTTCTTTTACATGTTCCCAAAACTTCCTTCGAGACACTGCGTTCAAATGGCCCAAAATAATGGCATCGAAAACCGAGTTGCACTGCACTTTGGCCAGGCAGTGCAGGAGTTCGTGGGGAAGGAGGATGTGAACCTCACTCGCGGCAACAGGCTAGGCGGTCGAAGACGATTTCCGATATGATTTTCGAAGACGATTTCCGATTTGTGCCATCAAACATTGAAACAATACAAATGTTTCAACAAATCCCAATCTGAGTCACATCGACAGGTTTCGCTTTGACACCATTCACCTTTGGCTGCAACCCCACAACAACAAAAAGCGCCCTTACCAACCACTATCCTCAATTTTGAGCTGCGCGCCATAGAAAGCAAGAGATCCACCGGGTGCCGAGAAGAGCTCTAGCCAAATGCATGCAAACAAATAAAAACTTTACCAATTCACAATCAAAACTCTTGCAAGTCTACCTTGACCACATAAGTCTCTAGGTCAAAGTCATATAGGCCACATAGCCATCTATGGAGATCCCTCTCGCAATTTCCCGGGTGCAAGCCATCGCAGCCAAGGGAGCTGAAGGCTCTAACCTCAAAGGTTAAAGAACTTCCATATGGGGCCTAGAAAAGTCTTTTGATTTTGAGGATCCCGAAACACTCTAAAAAGACGAAAGGAAAAGGAAACCATGTCAACAAACATGGAGTGTTTAAGATCTAGGAACAGCAGGGTCGGGAACTGTGTGATCTTTAACCACACATCTTGCAATGTCAGCAGCTGCTGCTATGCTTACTTGCCCTCTCCCAATCAAGTCTGTCAGCTTTGTCACTGTCGCAGACTGCTCATAGGATTCAAGAGGAAGCCGTCGTCGCTTCCTGCGCCACATGTGTTGCAAGATGCTTCAAAGTTTTAGTCAGCGCATCATCAATTGGTCGGGCTGCGGTCATATCATGAACACCATCATGTCAGCGGAGGAACCTTCGAACCTTTATTTCAGTGAACAGCCAGTGACAGCAGTCTCTTTCTGTGACAGGCCCTCATGTACTTCACCGACTGTCCTCGAAACCGAGGCTGCAGCGCCTGGCCGCGCATGGGCGTGGGTTGCAATAGGGAGACATCAAAGATGAAAGATCTTCGACATGTTGAAAGGCTTCGGCCAGTTTTTCGATCCCCCCTGCTTCCTACTAGATTGCGTGCGTTGAAACTGGAGTCCCACGGGCTATTGAGGCTATGACGAGAGTTACAGGTGAACACCATTGAGAGAGAGAGAGATATATATATAATTAGATGGATATATTACACCGTACACGATGAGAGTTCCAATGGCTACAGTTTGGGAAGCCCCTAAGGGAACATCCAAGCTTCTGCGCAACAAGTGTTGTCACTTGTTCAAACCCTACACTTCGTGACACAGAGGCCAATCTCTGTAGCCAATCAAAATACTACGCAGCAGAAGCTTTGCTCGACTTCTCCGTCTTCGTCGTCTTTGTATTCGCTTTCGCTTTCGCTTTGGCACGCCCCTTGCTCGACGGTCGCAGGAAAGCAGCAGCAGCAGCCTTGCAAAAGAAGGACCGAGAACGATCGGCCGGCGGCAGGTGTTTGGCATAAAGGCCAAGCACTACACTTGGAGATCTTTGGAGACTGTTTGTGGGTGTCTCAAGTGAGACATTTTGGGAGGTAGGGCCAAATTGGTTCTCAGAGATTGAACAAACTGAATTGGTTTGGAATCGGTTTGATCGGTAGCTGGCCTTCGCTTGATCACCAAAAGCAATGAGCTTATCGACCTTCTTGATGAGAGCGGTCATTTCCTTCTCGTCTTTGATCTTCAAAGCGTCCTGACCTGTCTTGAACGTAACCTCTAGCTTTTTGGCATGGTCCAACAATTGGGCTGACAGCTCCGTGGCATACCCCACTGTGGAAAGCTTGATGGACTGCGTTCTAGCAGTAGCAGCATGGGCAAGCAAGTCTTGCATGTAACTGCTCAGCTTTTCTTCGGTGGTCTGAGGCTTCACTGGATCTACTAGACCATCACGTTCTTTTGACCTTTTAGGCTTTGCGATAGCCACCTGCGTGGACTGGTGCGATTGGGTGAACACTGCGACATACAGAACGTCAGGGGGTTCATGTGCATGGCTAACTGCTTAGATGTGTTGGATATTATGGGAAATCTGTGCGAATCCATTTAACACAAAAAATGCGAGACACACACAAGACGACTTGGAACTTGGACAGCCTTTCCAAGCGCATCCAGGAGAGCTTTGTTGCCATCCTTCCCAACGGCAGACGTCGATGGCAAAGCGCCAGGCCGGAGCACACCATCTGCAGCATCCGTGAGAGCGGCTCGCATGTCATCATTGACATCGGCTTTGGCGGTGAGGGTTAGCTTCTCAAGCGTTTCATTGTCCTGCTTGACTTTCTCACCAACCCTGACAAAGAACCAGGCTTCATCTAGGTCACCTGGGAAGAGGTCATCCTCGTACCACAATGCTTCTGCCTCTCTTGAATCAGCTTCTCGAACTTTTCACTGGTATACCTGGGAATTCCAGATCAGCAAGTTTGTGAAACACTTCCCCCGACATGGTGTGTGAGCGTCATCCTAACACTGTCATTAGACATTATGATTTGGTATGGTTTTCAGTGGCTTTGCGCAATATACAACATGCTTTACTCACAAAAGAAAATGACTCTTACTCGACAGGACATGGTGCTGTTGGCGAAGAGTCTTGCCTTGCACAGCATGCCATCCTTTGGAGGCCACGTTGCGCTGGGAGACTTGTCGGTCTACTGCGAGTGTGCAAGAGCTCCAATTCATTCCACTATCCATCCATATGTTGAAGAGCTCGGTTTTCTTGGTGTTGTAGTATTCGCTCAGCTCTGCAGGAAACTTAGAGCGTGACAATGCCTCCCGACAGAATTTGTCCCACTGAGCCTTGTGTGTAGTGCCTTAGTGATCGAAGAGTTTCAACGAGCTCATGACATCATATGTATTATACATATATATATACATATACATATGTTGCATTGTGGGAAGGCGTCTTTTTACATGCTTACAAATTGAACTATGTAGACGCAATGGAGTACACTCAAAAGTGATCGAAGCATAGTGAAGGCAACTAAGCTAGATTCAGTGGAGTTCAACCACAAGCGATTGCAGTAGGAAGAGCTGTTCGGTGTGTTCACCCAAAACAATTGCGTGCATCAAAGCTACTGTTTTTTAGTGCCAGCGTTGTGGCAGCCCCTTCGTTGACCACTGGAACCAGCGCATGCGACTCCTCTGCCGGCGCAGTGCTCCTATCACCTTCGCCTCCACTTCCTTCCTCCTCACTAAACTCTCCATCATCATCATCATCCTCTTCATCGCTGCAGTCTGGGTCAACTGTCGACGCCTCATCATCTTCCTCCACGGACATGGCCTCCTCATCTTCGTCGTCCTGGTCGCAACTCTGGCCATCCTCTTCCTCCTCCTTTCCCTCTTCGTATTTTTCTTCTTCATCCTCTTCTTGTTCTTCATCACTGTCTTCTGCCCCCTCCTCATTTTCCTGATGATCCTCATCTTCTTCCTCACTGTCTTCTTCTCGCTCATCGGCATCTTCATCCTCCTCTTCTTCCTTTCCTGCGCCCAAAATCTCTGACAAGTCATCATCATCATCGTCGTCGTGATCCTTGTCAAGTGAAGACTCTAAGATGGTCGCCAGCTCCAACAACTTCTGCTCTGCTTTTTGCTTGGCAGTCGGTGTCCTGGGCACTTCTTCCGCTGCCTTATCGTCCTTGAAAGTCACCTTGGGCTTCTTGCTCGTTTCATCCTTCTCACATGAAGTCTTATCCCTCGGTCGCCTCAAAGCACTTTTCCTTGCAGAACTTTCTTCCCTCTCCTCGCCATTTGTTTCCTTTTCTTTCTTCTCCTTTTTTTTATCTGGTTTCTCCTTCTTCTCCTCTTTCTCCTCTTTCTTCTCTTTCTTCTGTTTCTTATGGTTCTTCTCTTTCTTCTCTTTCTTCTGCTCTTTTGTCTTATCATGTTTGTCGTCCTTGGCCTTCTTCTGCTTCTTGCATTCCTTCTCCGGCTCCTTGTCATTCTTCTTTTCCTTTGTCTTTTCTTTCGCCCTCTTCTCCTCCGTTGGCGTCTTCTCTGCTGGCGTCTGCGCTGCTTTCTTTTTCTTCTCTGTCTTAGCTGGCGGTGTCTCTGCCTTTTCAGCTTCCTTCTTCGCTTCTGCCTCATGCCTCGTCTTGTTTCTTTTCGTAGGTTCTTCCTTGCCCCTCGCTGAGTCCTTCTCATTCTTCATATTCTTGGAACCAGACATCTCCTTGGGGTTCTTGGGGCTAACCTTCTTGCGCCCTTCCTCTTTCTCCTTTTTCTCTTTATGGCTTTTCTTTGACTCCCTCTTGCTATCCTTCTCCTTTTTTGTCCTTGACCTTCCCCGTTCACTCTCACCACGCCCACCCTTGCCATGGATGCGAACCCTGGGTGCTTCAGGCATGGCTCTCTGAGACAAAAAGCACTTGCAGGAGGACATGCTGCGAGTTCAGCGACATGCGTACAAATCGCAGCTTTAGAGGAAGACTATACTTTCGGTTCATGAGTGCACACAATGTACATCATAAAAGGATGTATGCAGTGGTTGTTTTACTAGAATATACAAAGCGCAGCTATTCTCACCAAATCGCAGCTATTTCTCACCAAATCGCACGACGTTTTTGATGTGTGTTTTATTGAAATCTATTGTTCCAAAATGTGTTCTTGAACAGGCTGAAATCAAAGTTGACTGGACAGCTTTCCAGCCTACGGTCCCGTATTCCCCAAGTCTGAAAGAAGGCATCCCCACCTCAGCGGCCAAGGAAACTGCAGATGGTTCCCATATGAATGAACCGTGTCATCTTGTGGCATGGTACCCCACTCACACACAAACACACTGAGAAGGTCCACGGTCAAAATCTATCACTTCCCAAGAGACAAGCCCACAACTGAATCTGACTTGGGCCGCCAGGCCTCCTGTGTCGCTTGGGTTACCCACTGCGCGGTCGCCAAGCCTTCATGGTCGAGCTTTGGGAGACGGACAGTGGCTTTCACAAGAGAACTAAACAGACTTGGGCTCTTCGCCTCGATCTTCTATAGGAGACTCAGTTTAGTAAGCAAACTGATGGGTCCACTGCGGCTGACCCACTGGCACTCCAGGCCTCCTGCGAGTCAAGCTTGGATCAACAAAAGCGCGGTCGCCAAGCCTTCATGGAAGGAAGGTGGATGTGGGCTTTCATGAAGAAACAAAAGCTCTTTGCACCGTTCTGTTTGACGGAGCTCCAATCATGCTCCTTGTTCTCTTTACAAACATTCTATAGGCATCTCCCATTTCCCTACATTCACATGCGCACGCTTGACCCATCCACATGTATTGTACGCGGCTCCTTCGGTTTGAAAGAAATATAAGGGCCCAGTTGGGAAACTTCTTGCTCCACAGAGGATTTGAAGTCAAGTCACTTTCTGCTAATTTGCGGTTTCATGTCAGAATGGCCAGGCTTGAATTGTGGACAGTCATGGGAAAGCTCGGTTGTATCACCAAGCCCCGAAAGCCATGGGTCCACAACGAATTTGGCTCTCGTGAGCTTGCCCCACAAAAGCTGGACTTGCATGCATCTATAGATGAGAATCTATGACTCATCTCTGCGACAAGAACTGGATTACACTTCCCAGATCAGCCTGGTCAGTCCAGGCCTTGTTCATCCTAGCACTGCAGTTCAGTTTGTTGTCACTTTTCTTTGCTGCTCGCAGAAAGGCGATGGCTTTCCGCTTGTTGGCTTTGCTATGCAAAGTGCGCAGCTTGGCAAGCGAAACACCAAACCTGGATGGCCAAATTCAAACCCCCAGCTGAAGACTCACGCACTACAACACCATTAGATATAACATCGAAGCCTTTTGAGAAGTGAACTGTGGTTTCACAGCCAGCAAAGCCGACATGGAAATTACCTTTGATAGAAAGCTTTCTTTAGCCCTTCTAGTTTTATCAAACACTGTGGAGGAAGGGAAACTGGCTGGAGAGAACCTGTGTCAACGCATGTCAAAATATGGCATATGAAAGAAACCCAAGGGACTGGCGTGGGTAGTTTTGGGAAGTCTTCATGTCCTTGCCACCGTGCCAAGCTGGCTGCCCTTGGCTGTTCAGATAGCGGACGGTGACTTCTTTTGGGCGCAGCCGTGGCGTGGTCTTGAAGGCATTCAAACCCTCTATGCATCTGTGGCCTTGGCCCGAGAGAACCCTCAACGACATATTGTGAACGCTTTCGCCACACCCTTTCCTTCTATATACATGGTTGCATGCTTTTTAGAATGTACCTCACAAGAACCTGTACAGTCATCTTCGTTTACATTCTGCAGAATGGTATAGATCCCGGCGAGATAATAGGGAGCACATATGAGCATATGAAACAATGCAAATAACGATCAAAAGCTACAAACTTTCCAAGAAGCTCGAATACAAGAGTGTTGGCTTGAGCGTGGGACCCCCATGGTCCCCCATTCTCATAGAATACTTGAACAAAGGAACGAGTCGAGCCATGTGCTGAAACAGTGGATGATGTTCCATGCAACTTGACGCTGGCTGCTCCAGAACAAACCAAATTGCTTTTGCTGCAGCGATAAAGCACAAAATGAAAGCTCGACAGGCCAAGATGTTGCCCTTTCTCACAGCCTCCGAATCTTTCCTCCCAAGGGGATTTCTCGGGCTGCGACGCGTGCTTCCACGGCTCCTCAGGTTATAGACGCTGGCAGATCTTGATTGAAGCATGGGAGCCAAGGAAGGGCCGCTCATATGTAACCACAAGTGTCCCAAAAGCATGAAGAACTTAATTTTCTTGTGGGTTGAATCGAAACAGCAATGAAGAGAAAGCATTAGATGAATCATCCATTCGAGTAACACTATCACAAAGGTACTGCAAACTGGAGCTGTGAGGCTTCCAGAACCGGGGTTCGTGTTTGCCATGTGGTACAGGGCATTGGAGAAACCTTCAGGAGTAAGAAGGTCCATAGCTGCCGAGTAGTCCACGTCGAAGGGCACAGCAGCACGACCCTCCTATGGCAGTTACAGGTCAACCGTTGCGGGTTGTTGGTTCTGGATATAGAAAAACAAACAGATTGTAGTTCGAGACTTGCGCATTGGTTTAACATGGTTTAATCAACACACCCTCGTCTCCCACTCCCCACGAGTCACTGCCATCGTCCCAGAAAAGGTTTCGAAGTGATCGATAGGGCGCTCGAAGTCCAAGCCCGGAATTCCAAAGACCAATGCCACTATTGTGGCAATCACCTCGGCAGAGGAGGTATAGTCTTCCGTGTATCTTATACCCTGCTCTGCATATCGC